TCAAAGCAGGAAATGAGGACTTAAGACCTATAATTTCCTTTCTATAAACTGCGCTGTATTTTTGATTTGTTAATTTATTTGTCGATAGAGATGGGAAAAAAAGTCCTTATTGTGCTAAGCGTTAACAAACTAGGTTAAAAAAAATCTGATAATGTCTGTATTCTGTTCGAAGTTCATCCAAACATGGCCAATGCAAAACAAATCCTAAATTTCACCTCCCATTTCAGAAATACATGTAGTAATTTAATACCTTTAAACTTTTCCAGATTCACTTATGTCATGGACGTATTGGAATTTGTCTGTGATTTATCTGGGGTGGGGTGGTGGAGTAATTTAGCATGTACCTGATTTTTGAGCAACGCTCTATTTGAAGCGAGACAAATAGAAAAAATGCTTCACAAAATTTAAAAACACTCAAAAGTTTCATATTTAGATATTTTGCTTCAAAAACGATAACTACAACAATGCTTCATGATAAACGTGATGCTTTTAAATTTTCAAGCGTCGACTTCTCATACTTATGCAGCAATACACCCTTATCACCTTCATATGGAATCTATGTCTCTCAATTGATTCGATACGAAAGAGCATGCTCCACGTACAAACAATTTCAAAAACGGGACAAGCTTTTGACAATAGAGCTTATGAAACAAAAAAATTAAGAGTCTAGTTTAAGAACATCATTTAGCAAGTCAAATGTAGACAGATGTTTTTCAAAATGGAACATTTTTAACACACTGTCTATGGCTCTTTTTCCAAAGAGTGCTTCACGGATGTGACCGATCGACAGGGGATGCTTACTCCTCCATGGTACTTGCTCCTACCCTGATGTTTTAGAGGTCCATGTTTGCACTACATCTTTTTTGGTATTTTTTGAATTGATTTTTGAGTTTGAATACTACTTCTGTTTTTCATCTTTATATGGAAGTTATATCTCCTACTCAAAGTTGATCACTTTAGTAAGAATATATAGAAAATTTAAATGCTGTGTTTACTCCTACAAAGACTTTGTTTTTGATCTTAATTTTTTGTCTCTCTGTTTTGCATGTCAAACAGTTTGTTCTACTAGTTTTTCTGGACTTTATTCTAGATACTTCTTGTAAAGGACTGATTTGTGCTATTGAATTTTTTAATGTTATTCACTTGAGTATGAAACTCATTCTGCATTAAGTCCCATAGCGGTAGCATTCAGTTTTGCTTATGCATTGTTCTCAGAATAACTGTTTTTTATACTAGTATACTAGTAAGTAACATGACTAGATACAAGAAATTGCGATTGAAAAAAATTTTCAATCATACTTGCCATGTGATTTTTGTTGTGATCGGGCAAATGAAGAAAAATTCGTCGTCAATGCAGTATGCACACTAAAGACGTTTAAGAATGCAATGCAATCAAGGGAAGGACCAAAAATGTGGCCAAAAAAAGAGCAGTTTTCATTAAAGATTTATGAAGGCTTAATAAAGCTTCAAATTGGAAAAGCCTAGCGTTTTGATGGCCAGAAAACAGGGATGACGGGGAATTTGAAAATACCGCTCGGAGGTAGTCATTCAAATTCTATGAAAGGTAACTCTTTGAAAGTGTTAAAAAGTAGAGGAAGTTGAACAACTAGCTTTAACAGAGAAAAAGTTTGCGAGGTGTTCCACCATACCTCTTAATTTTTTTTTTTAGAATATACAGTACCTCACTCAAAATTCAGTTGCCAGTATCATAAATAACAATAATGAAAGACCCAAAAGGCAAGAAGTTTCACTGGCAATTGAAAATGGTTAGTTGGTGATTTAGAAAGCAAAAAACATCGCTATGATGCTAAACCACTAAGAAACTTTTGCAAAAAGGGCAAACAGAAAACACGGATAGAGGGCTTTAAGAGAAAATATGAACGTTAAAGCACGTTTTATTTTGTAAATTTGCGTTTAACAAATGGAGTGTTAGTGGAGATCTGAGAGTACTCAGAAAGCTAGGTACCTTTAAATGTACTTCCAAATTAGTACATTACTCTTGAAAAGACAATGAAAAAGTCACAATCATAAAAGGTAGAAAGAATATGGACATAACGACTATATTTAAAATGCAAATCGGGACTTGAGACATCAGGTGAAGGATCATGTGCCATGGTGGAGTAAGGACCCACCTGCCGACCGGCCACACTCACCATGTCCTCTTTGTCATGATCGGGAAAAACAAAACGTGGAAAATTCAGTGTGTAAATAATCGCATAAGAATTTATTTATATTAAAAAGAAAGTCAATCAGCATTTTACTCAATGATTACATTGTAATGTATTTGCTGAAAAGATCGTTGTATCGACCAAAAACAAAGCAAAAGTAATGACTTTAAACAAACTGTTTATATTCTTGTTTCCTTGTTTGTCAATATCTTGACCCGTTTTAGACATTTAGACCATGCTCTCTCGTATCACCTGAGAAACATAAACCCTATATGAAGGTGATAAGGGTATATTGCTAGATAAGTAAGAGAAGTTGGCTGTTGAAATGGTTAAATCATCACGTTTATCATAAGAGCTTTGTTGTTAGATTACCATTAACATCTTTTTCTACTTACTTTTATATGAAACAGATGTGTAATACTCTGTGGTATCTTTTATTTCAAGTTTACTGGAATAAATCGAGTTGACATACGAATGGAAGTTACTATTATTAATTAATAAATAATTAATGATATCAAAATGTTGAGTTGAAGGTCACAGCAAGTGTTTTTTTCTTTTCACGTAGACATTTTCATAATAACATATCATAAATTTAGATTCCCTGTGTTTTGATTGGATTCAAGAAAAAGTTTACACATCGATGAATTCTTTTTTCATGACTGTTGTAAAAACAATGAAAACACTTCTAGTTTGTATTTTAAAAAAATGAAAATATAAAAATGAATGAATGAAAAGGAGATAAACAGGACTGACAGACGGGAATATCATGTTTATGTCACTGTCGGATCACGAGTGTGAATATATCGCTGATCATGCTGTCATTTTCTCGACGTTCATCAGTATCAGCTCAGTTGGTATGGTTGTGATAGGGAAATCACTATTGTTTTAATAAAATTCATATGTTTACATCCTACATGTATTGTTCTTAAATCTTTGAACGCCAGAGCAAATCGGTGGTTTTTTCGTTATGACGTTGTTGTTTATGTCAACATGGCCATGGTCAAACACGAATTATTCTGGAGAATACGATATTTGTTGACGTAAACAACTATCAATAAGTTTTTATAAGTTTATTTATTGATTGTTTTGACAAATTTGGTTGGATTTTATCTATATTCATCTTGTATACGTTTCTTTGCGGCATAAAGTATTCCTACGCCGTACAAAATAAAATACACATAATTTTATAATTTTTGGAATTATTTGAACGTTCTTTTTTCAGAATTTATCGATGTGTAAACTCTTGTTTAAACAAACTCAAAATGTGTTTTATTAGGAAGCACTTTTATTCATTTTAAAAATGGCCAATGACAAGTTCAGTTTATCCTATAATAAATTGTACTTTTTTATGAATACAAAAAATTGGGGCATTTTGGTAACCATTGGAATTTCAACAGATTGTTGGAAGACCCGATCTCCAAAACTACATAGATAATTGTCACTTTTCTTTTGAGTGTCAACTCCGGAGTATTTGTTTGTACAATGAAAATGCGTTTTAGCAGAAAAATTTTGAAAATGGCCAATGACAAGTACAGTATACCATTTTTATTGAAGAAGCATCTGTCTATGATATGGAAAATGCCTGAACAAAACTCAATCAATTTCTAACTATCTACAAACAAACAACATGAAAAAATGTGAAGAAAACATTTGCAAGGTTAATTCAAACATGAATAATACTACCTTAGTATAGCAAAAATAAGATACATTTATCTTTATATTAATCTTTCATAAAAAAAAAAACGTTTTGCTTATTTTCAGTCTGACTAATTTTGAACACAAAAGACACTTGTCACTCGTTGTAACAGAAATTAAGAAACTGTTCTCTTTATCAGCTATACCTCGTAACAAAGACTGCTTGCATCCAAGAACAAAATTCCCTCTTGGCAAATTACGGTTCCGGAAGATAATTTTTTAAGTATAGGATATTAACATGGTCTGAAAGGGGGAAAAGACGGACATTTTTGGGATTGGATTATACTCTAAGAATCATTGGTAATTTAAGACGGAACACCCGCTAATTTTCACAACTAAATGAAGTCTTTAAGGTTCATGCCGCGACAATTCTTTCTGTACAATTACAAAATGAAAGATTGTTCATATGACTTTACCGGACAAACGTATTCCAGTTGTGGATTTCTCTCTAATCAACACCGGATCTATTGGTTTAACATATCAATGTCCTCTTTAAATCAAAGGATTTTAATTGAATAATAATTATGTTATAAATTATTAATTTTTTGTAAAGAATTATTACTGAAATCAGCAAATGTATTAATTCAGAAATTTATCCTTAATTACATGATGCTTGGAAAATCAGTTGCTGTTGATTGAAGAATTTCAATACCATACAATCTTGTTTTTTTTTAATCAGCATCTTCTTTGAATTAATGTATATTTATTTAGTAGAATTATGACGTAACGATGTTTGGAAGTGCTTGCGAACTGTGTAAATGTATCATTATCTGCATATGAAAATTCACTTACATAATGAATAATAAATACGTAGATTGAATTATTCATATATTTGAATGCTTTACTGTTTTTTTTGAATATAAATGACATGAACGCTTTATTTTAATTAATAGACATGTATTTATTTCAAAGTAGAATCTGTGATACGTATTTTCAATAAATATAATAAAAAGAGTTGTCTTTTGTACAAGGAGATTGTTAATTAACTAAATTTTCTATAGATAAATATAATTAATATATAAATAAAAAAGTTTTGCACTACATGCACCATGTGTAAACACACGATATTAAAAATAAAAGACATCTTTTATAACAAAAGATAAACATATCTTATAACAAAAGACTCCTCCATTTCAGAATCCGCCGTCAATGAGAGGAACAGCGTATCAGAGGAAGGGAAGGATCACCCAAAACTGAAGCAGAGACGGAGCCGGACAAACTTCACGTTAGAACAGCTGAACGAGCTGGAGAGGTTGTTTGACGAGACGCACTACCCTGACGCCTTCATGAGAGAGGAACTCAGTCAAAGACTGGGATTGTCGGAAGCCAGAGTCCAAGTAAGGAATATAATAATAAAACATTTGAACAATTTGGGAATTTTTCACTCATTAAATATGTAAAACATTGGAACAATTTGGGAGGTTTTAGTAAGTATGTAAAAAGTAAAGATAACGTCTCAAATTTCCATAAACAATACAAATATTTGAAAAGGGAATAAAACACGGACTCCTCGATGTACCAGAGGCGGGATCAGGTGCCTTGGAGGAGACAGCTTCCTCTGTGGACGGGTCAATCCCGCCGTGAGAAGTATGTATTAATCAGGTGGACGGAACTATCCGTAGCCAATTCAGTATAAAAAACCACAGCAAGAATGATTAATTAATGCTCACTATTTTTAAGGGGGATTAAAATGTAATGCATTAAAATATTTTACAGACTTTGTCTAGAATTAAATCTTATACATGTATATAAATCAGCAAATCTTTAAAGAAAAAATTAGAAATAAACTTTTATTCAGATGCACGGATATATATGTAAGATTTGTAGCAATATTTAGCACAAAGAAACTGAACTTGAAAAAAGACGAAGTTTCTGTTACTATGGAATCTAACCGTAACTATGGTTTCATCTGTTTGGATGTATTATCTTCTACATTTTCATTGGAGTGATAAAGTTAGCATGCAGATTCCCAAGAGAAATCCTAAATCTCAGCATTCCTAATTGAATAACATAACTTTGAACGTGTCACCCCTATACGGACGAAGCATGCCTATATAATTGACATTTGAAGATATTAGATAAAGAAAGTTTAATTAAACAAATTAGAACTTAGATTGATCACTCTAGTGAAATTTAGTTTTATTCTATCTATTCAGAAGGAGGATTATTGACATAAATTCCTTAACTGACGAAATCTAACATGCGCATGTGAGAAAATCTGTCATGAGGACAGGGGCAAGAGAAAATGTAAAATACAATACTGCAAACTGTATCCTGTCATTTTACGACAGTATTACAAATATTTCAAATATCATTATTAAAATGTAAGACGTACAAAATAACTTATATAATATTAATGTTAGCCAAAATATGTCATTCAAATTTATTTCACAGTTTATAACAGGCCTGTAGGAATTTTGACAAGGGAAGAAAAGTTATTTGGAACTATTATAGAACGTAGAAATGAAAATGTTGCATTTCTATCCGAGTAAAAGTATAACATACATTCCATTCTGTCGTTTTGAAAATCAAAATAGGAACAGACTACAACAATTGTTTTAAAAATATTTTTAATTTTCCAACAAAACCCAGTGAACGATTACATACCAAGTATTTCTCAAGTTTATAATGAAACAAACAGTAACCTATCATTGACATTTTTTCCTTTTCCGTAAACTTGTAATGAAAAATAGAGGATAGTCTTTTACTTTTTCCATGTATGTCAGAATATTAATAAGTACAAAGTACTAGTATTCATTTATTAATTGTAAGATAGAACTTCCGGATTTTTTTTAAATCTGTTAAAAGTACATACAAGACATTAGAAGTAAATAATTATTAGGAAACATATCCCATTCATTTATACAGACCTAATTTCATTTTATATAACGTATCTTATAAATTAATTATACAACTGTTAGACAGAGGATACATTTTCCAAGGATAAAATATTATGCAACTCTTCATGCTAAATTAAATTACTTAGTAAAAACAAGCTGTGATTTAAAATATCGAAAGTAATTCAAGTCTCAAATCTATTCCAAAATCCTAAGTTGTTCCTACGGGACTTCACTAGAAGATGAAGTGAAAAAGTGCCCGTCGAAACTGACGTTCTAACAGTTTCATCTAATCACTTTAATCAGCTCCATTGTGTTGGGAAATTGTCCTCATATGTTTCAGATAATTTAGGTGGCGAAAAGTCTAAGCATGGCATCACCAACAGGAACAATGGAAAAGCGACGTCAATTTAATTGAATTGACATAATGATTGCTGAGAATGATAGAAAATGTAATATTTTACCAATGAAGAAGGAATTAGAAATCCCCTTTGATTAACAGTAGGCAGAATTTGAGAGATGTTATTGAGATCTATTGATGTCGTTAGCTCATTTAAAGATTTTTTTCTCACTGTAGAATGGAATATTCTTTGGAACGTCTTGATTTTGTCTTACTAATTTTCTTAACTTAAAGCTGAACACGACTTGTAAATAGACACATGCCATATTAGTTTTCCCTTTTCCTTACCCAGCCCAAGGGTATATAAACTCTTCTTCACATTTATTCCAAATGATTGCATTTTACCTTTTTATGATGTATGGAGTACATGTATATCTTATATTTTCAATTTATTTCATTGAACGTGCATTATGTTTTTTTTCCCAATATAAAGCTTTGACCTTCGCAATTGATATCCGAAATCTTGGGTAACTTTATTTCCTGACGTGCAGGTGACATTTTGTCGCACCGGAGTATACGCAATGACAATGAAGGAGAATTCAGTTCAGATAAATGTCATCTTGTAAATTTTGTATCTACTACCAATCGGTGTACTTAAAATTTATAACATGACATAAAGTCCTTGAAGCAAAATACTTATATGAAGCAATTGAAGATGACGAACAGTATTTGAGCTCAAAAGTCCATAAAACAATATAAATAGGAGCAGAACAAACACAAACCTCCAAAACATCAGAGGTGGGAAACATATATACAAAAATACACATGTACAGTGAACAAAGATGGGGCTTACTACATGTAGTATACAGTGACATGATGAGGACAGCCCTAGCTTTACTCCATTCCTGAGGAGGAAATTCTTCAAAATCATATGTCAGTTTGGATATTTAAAATATTCCCAATAACCAGAATAAATTTGATTCACCATATCTATATTGGATTCCACCACTTCATAAAAATCCCTACTAAGATACATAGCGGGTTCTAGTAAATGTTTTACCAAGCCTCTTCTTTTCTCCTCACTATAAACAGTAGTGAAGGAGAAGCTTTACGGGTACTTTGCGAAAAATTTATTTGAGAAGTTGTGTAAATCAGATGTGGATACTTAAAAATTCCAAGGAACTTTGGGATAATTCGAAATCACAAAATTTTACCCAAATCAACAGCATAAAAATTTACGACTTTTCAATACAACTACCGGTATTCTCCACGATAATTAATGTTCATGCTTTCTGTACATCATTGACAAAGAAGTAGCTGAAACAAGAATATCAGTATTCTCGTTTAAAGTCATCGTTTTGTAAGTTCTATGGTCAATACAATGACCTTTTCAGCGTTAAACACAATTTATCATTCAAGTCGAATGCAGACTGACGTTTTTGTACTAACTGTTTGGCCATTATATATACACTGTCGACGGATTTTCTCGTTATCTTCCGAATGAGCACACGTCGGGTGTGACCGGTCGACCGGGGATGCTCGCTTCCCCATGGTAACTGACCCACATCTGATGGTTTTGGAGGACCGTTTTTTGCTCTGCTTCTATTTTGTATTGTTAAATGGGCTTTTGAGGTTTAATACTGTTCGTTATCTCAATATATTTCATTTCTTCTAAATTTTACTGTATATTTACCTGATGTGTGCAAAGTTTAAAACATGATAACAGTTATCACACCCGGTTAATTCAAAATTTAGAACATAATATTTTTATGATTTGATTTCCATGTTTTAAAAATACATGTTGTAATGTTGTTTAACTATCAGGAAAAGTGATTTGAATTGCAATAAAATGTTGAATTGTGCTAGTCAAGACAGCGAGAATATTGCTTACTCTGTTAATGATACTTAAACTTTTAATTGTCCTAGTCAAGACTAACCCCGTCAATGATTAACATTTAAACTTTTTATTATTATATCGATGTAAACTTATCAGAGAGTAAGCTTTCGAAGCAAGGGTAAGATGATTTGACTTATACACATTGCGGAATGGTGATTGGTCTAATAATGGTGATTTCTAGGGAAATATTTAATTCTAACAATCTAATTTTACATACTAGGGAAAAATTAGTAGATGTAATGTTAAACATCTGTTAATGCTATCGAGCACGTATAAATACATGTAGTTGGAACAATCGTTAATTCATTTAAAAGCTAAAGTAACAGTCACGATTTCTATTAATTAATGAGTTGAAAGAAATCATGTTTGTTTTTAGGTATGGTTTCAGAACCGGAGAGCAAAGTGCAGAAAACAAGAAAGCCAGATGCAGAAAGGTATGATATTAAAGACAGCAACAATTATTAGAAAGAAATGTCGCCTAAAATTAGAAGCTAATAGACATCACGAAATGCAGAGCTCGCCGATTTGGATTATATTTATTATAGAGCACAAATCACATTAATTGCGAAGATAGTTTCAATAGGGTTTACTTGTGACGGTAATATAATCAATACTAATTTGCTCAGCTTTTCTTGGGCTAATTTGATCAATTTGCCGATTCGCTTTCTTCATTCGTTCAATATGTGATGAATTAGGTGAATAAGGAGGAACTGGGAGTATGACCCGCCAGAGAAATTGACACCTTAGTGAAGTTATCCCCCCGAAAATAGACATATTCCAAGTTGTCCTAATGGGGTATGCACTTCATCAATGTCAATTTTTTGGGAACAAGTCGAAATTCTGGGATTGTACCAATTTGGACGACAATTATCGAATCGAGATTTCATACATAAGTATAACGTATACATGGGTATAATTTTTTTTAAATGAAAATAGTATTAATTTATAATATACTCTTTGCGATAATATCCTTATACGAAATATTAAAGTTAAAATCGGTTTATTTATTTGTGTTTTAACATCTTTTAATAACTTATATTTTCAAAACTCGATGGGGCAAATTTTCCATAAAATGGTAAATTGAAAGTTGATTGTGTTAGTTTCTATTCATTTATTTTAATCTCATAACCATTTTGCAATTATAGTATAGGGAGATTACAAAAATATATATGATAAATAATAATTCAATATAGAACTATATCTATATGATAAATATAAAAATAATAGATAGATTAGGGCATGCGAGAGGAATAAAGAACAAAATTAGTACGGTACAAAGCGGGGAGTACATTCCTGTTAAGTTTGACGAACTTTTAAAATTAATTTCCAAAAGAAATTTGATCAAGGCCGTCCATATTCTAATTTGTTAAGTAAGAAAGCAAGTTTTCTTCGTTCCAAATAATAAAACCTTAATTTTATTTGGAAAAAAAATGAACTTAAAGCCTAGAGTCCGTCGTAATTTTTTTTTTTTTTTTTTTGTGTTTTGAGTTTTAAAATTATTGGATAAATTCTCACAGGGATAACTATTGTATGATTTGTGCACAAATTGACTGAAAATTAGTCACTTTGTTACCCTTTTGTTATTATTTTTGCATCATTTTTCCCTCAGAATTTTGATATGAAAACCTTTCATAGCATTTCCGCAACCTATCTCAGGCTTTTGATAAGGACAAGTAAAATAGAAATACCATTTTCTCTACATTCTGTCAGAAGATGTTTTTAAAAATAGCGATATTGTTCAATAAAACAAATAAATATACGGTACATTTATATATATTTACAAATTTGCGACGATGTAATCTAATTGGAAACACAATTTCCTTCCAAAATAATGATAATCATTTACTGTCTGACAACTCTTGATTACTTTTCATTGTTAATATAAAATTGAGATTGATGAAAAATCTCGAAATGTCGAGAAAATACAATTAATAGTTAAGATATATTTTCTAGGATGATCCAAAAAAATCAAGCAAACGAGTTAATTTTCGAAACTGAATTATTTTGCAGATAGGAGATTCTTGATATATGATGGTTCTGAAAATTAGCTCTATAATTTATTTCATTGGTTCTCCCAATGAACAAATAATAAGTGGGGAACCCAGGCTTATTGACAATGGAAACCGGTATTACAAATTTGAATGCTGCTCACGATGATAAATTGACGTCAACAAATATTTAACTATTGCGGCAAACATGTTCTAACGAAACCCCAAATCTTTCTCTTTCAAAAAATCACGTGACCTCTGAACTGTCTGCGAAAGGCTGTCGATTGGAAGTTTCGCTGTCGTCTGCGCTAGACTTATTAGAGGCAACTGAAAAGAAGTGGGTGCAAATTAGTCAAACATAAAAAAGATAGCCAGCTCGAAGATTAACGTATTTGAGTTCATTAGGAATATTCCGTCAGTTTCTGTGGCTAATAATTCTAGTCAGATTCTCGCATATTTAGAGTAAACATTTTCCGCAATAGCCAATTATTGGCCCAATGCCTCGCCAGATTATGATAAATTGCGAAACCAATTCATTATTTGATATACGTTGTTGAAACATGAACTTCTGGGCATAATATCAAAGGGTTATCCTTTGGGTCATGGAAAAGTTGCAGATAACTCTTAATTTCTTCGACTATTCGGTACAATTTAACAAAACATAATACTGAGTAAGTAAAGGAAAATGTTAAATCTATTATTAACTCACCTGAGTTGAAAGCTCAAGCACAATTTGTCTGACCTGCCTCTTTCGGTCTGTCCGTCTCATATTTTTTATGTCTTTACAAGAATCAATTAAATTGGAAAGTTTCAACAAAACCTGCTACAAAACAACCCTTGGTAAATGGGATTCAAATAATATAAGGCAATATAATTTAATAAGTATAAGTGAAAAATAAGAATCAATGAAACATAAATATCAGTGAAAAATTGACATGGCATCCTTTAAAGTTAACAGGCATTTTCCTTCTTTGTTTACAGCTGGGTTACTGATTCAAGCACAAGGAACGCCATTAGACGCCTGCAGAATGACGCCATACGTAACCATGCCTCCGATGCGTGAACCGATCGAGCGCTTACCGCCCATATCGCCCTTCCTCCCCTACTACCCGATCCCCACCCCCGGGAGTCACGCCCCTCAGGCCCTCCACCCCTTACTTCTGTATCACCACCACTATGCTGCGGCCTTGAACTACGACAGAAAGTCAAACGACTCCTTGCATGACACCAACTTATTCATAAATGCAGATAATTTCGAAATTCTATACTTACATTGTGTATATGAGGTCAAGAATTCCAGCATTGCGGATCTTAGAATGAAAGCGAGACAGCACCTAGCTTCACTGGGAATCTGAAAAAGTAAACATTGTTGGATTTTATAATTCGACAGTATTTTGAATGATATCATAGATATTTTATCTCTTCTAAGTCGCAAACTTTTGAAGTTTTTATAAACTTGTCTTTGTTGAATATATTCAGTCTTTCAGAGTATTCGAGATATCAGTGGTAAAAAAAGTAGTTGGGACTTCAAATTCACATCGATATCCATTTATCTATGGTATTCGAGATATCAGGTTTCGAGATACCGAAGTTCAACTGTAACTTTTTAAAAAGTTTATGTACTATTCTTCACTCTATTTAATATATTATTTTACAATTAATTACAATTGTTGCTGTACATATATAAGATAAATGTGAATATGACAATTGAATCGGTCTTAATGTGTTTAATATTAGATGAGGAATTTGGATGCTCTGTTTTTCCATTTTCTTAAATGAGCGAGGCATGTTGTTTTTAGAACTACAAATCTAGTGTGAATGTTATAACCATTATGTGAAGTACATTATAGTAAAGCTTTTATATACTCACTCAGTCTCTTTATTTTCTTGACTTTCATGTTCTTTTTTTATTATAAATGTTATGTTTACAATATGGCAGAATCTTGGAAGTAAAGAAAAGAAATGAATAAAAACATATTCGACGATTTCAGATTTTTTTCGTTTGAAGATTCAAGAGTTAAAATTTGGTTTTCTCATAATTAGTGTATTTTGCTTTTTACTTTTCATATAAAAGCATTTTGATTTTTATTGTTTTGCATTTGTAAAATGTAAAATTTTCTACTTGTCATAAGAAAAGATTTAAATGTCTGTATGATGAATAAATATGAATACTAGAAATGGAAAGATTGATTGGTCATATATGAAAATTACTAGTAGCACACAGAAACACTTAATTAACGAGGCTGGGGGTGGCAGCCATTTTTAGACTATTTCAGTCTCCTTTAAAAGGAGAGCTCCATATAAAGATATACAAAAATGATTAAATTTCAAAACTAAAATGTATGAATTTTTTTCTTCGTCAAATGATAGTTGACAGCTAAAGATACCGTATCTAAAAAAATAAGTTAAATCTGGTGGTTAATTTGGGATTAATTTGTTGACCCACCAGCCTCCTTAAATGATTTCAGGATAATTATACCAAAGGTATTTTCTTTTCCCTTTATGTCTTTCCATAGAAGATCACATCTCCTCTAGAAAACTCAAAAAAGAAAAAAGATATAATTAAAAACACACATCAACAAAAATTAAACATTTTACGGGATATTTAAAGTTCTCTTTTAAATACGTCATCTTTGTCAAGGAACATATAAGTAAGACTAAGTCATGCTTTTTAAGAGCAAATTTAATTACAAAATAGAAAAAAAAATCGTATTAATCTGGAGTTCAATAAAAAAAAAAAATGTGCTGCGTATAAATTTAGTTCCTTTCGTCCTCGGTGCTAATATTTAAGTCAGTGTTGAATAAAAAATTAATCAGAAGTGTGCTTGATTGATTTTCAAACAGTGAAAAAATTTTGCAAATGTGAAAGTGAACACGGAATGAAGATAATCCTCTGTACAGTATTCGCATTAAAGTACTTTCTCAAATCTCTTCGACATATCCATTGTATTCGATATATCGGAGTTCGAGTTTGCGAAGTTTGGCTGTATATTTTGTGCAATTCGTCAAACAGCATAAGTTTACTGATTTGGCAAATTATGAAAATAAAAGAATATTTACTCCTTTAAACATATCTTTTCTCAAATGTATCAAAGAAAACATTATATATTAATGTACATTTTTTCGTTGACGTCCGTAACATTTGATATAATAATTATCTCGTGAAACGCTATATGGATCTAAGTGACTGCAGTTGTATGTTAGAGTATAGTCCATAATGAAGAATAATGATAGGTGTGCGGCTAATTTGTCTAATAAATTCATGGAAAGAGTCGGTACTTAAACATCTGAAATGTTATACCCTGATTTAATTAAACATAGCTTTATAATAAAGGAAATAACTCATTTATATTGCCCACAAAAAGGTTTGTGTAATATTGATATGATAAGAAAAAAAAACATGCCGTATTTTAATACTATCTTGTCATTAGCATCACATATCAAGTAAAACCAATTTGTCAACACTAATAAATATTGATTGGCTCGCATATTCGAGCAAGAGAAAAAAAATCCCTTTCTCTTATTGTGACAAGGTTTAGCATTAATGATTTATGAATAAAACTCAGTGATCATTTGTACACACATATCATATAACGGGTTTAATTTTATTTGGTGACAGAACGCCAACGGTCCCCCTTCCCCTCCATTCTCCCAACATTTAAATCATATTAGCCAACGATAATAATATCATTTTCACTTCTGTAAATGGGCCGACACTATAATGATTAATATCGGAAACAACCGAAATTGTTATTTCAGCGAAGCAATGAAATATTTTGGAACGAAAAACTAAGTTGATTATTATATAACTAATTTGGCGTGTATTCGAATATGAGCCGATTAGCGCCCACTGTTTTCATGTATGTGTGAATATACATTTTGGATAATGTTAGTGGTTGGTAACTGAAGTTTATGACTATGAACACGAGAGCGAATTATTCATAAAAGTTGTCAAAAATTATCATGAATAATTAATTTTTTCCCACAGGACTCCCCGATAATCCATCGAGGGGAATGAATTTGTGGTTTCTCGATTTTCACTTCATTTTCAGTCTAGCGTCTTTTCTCTAGTGTTAGAAATTATGATCATAATTTGAAAAATTAATATTGATGACTTTGAGTCCTTGTTTTGTAACTGAGTCAGAATAATTGACGCCCCGCAACTCTTTCTCTTAACTTTTGCTACATTTTGTTTGGACATGTTAAATACAAATCTGGGTTTAAAAATTAAATGATAGAAAAAAAATATCAAAAGACTATATACAATGTATGCTTTGTGGCTAATGAATAAATTACAAGTTCCTAAGAAAATGTCCAAAGTCTAAAATGACCTAAAAAATGACATCAAGCTGTTTTTCGATGGCTTTAACTTTTTTTCATCGATTACAAAAGTAATTTGTTAATTTAAATGATCAGAATAAATGTAAGATTGATAAATTTAATCTATTAATTAATATTTTAGACAAAATTTAGGAGGTTCAACGTATTTGTCTAGTGGGCGTTCTTGACACAAAATTTATTCCTTTTATTTAACGTATATGTTCAAGAATGCTTTGGGTAATTAACAAACTGTATCGTATACAAATAAAAAAAAACCTAATATATTTTTTTAAATTAGCTGAATTTCAAGTAGCCTATGATTTTCTCCTTATATCCGTCTGTCCGTCAGTGTGTCAGTCTGTCTAGTGTAGCTGTCCGTCCGTCATAAAAACTTAACCTTGCCCATAACTTTTGATGAAGTGGGGCTATAACTTTAATATTTCACCTATGCATTCCTTGTGACAAGACCTTTTTCTGGGTACCACCATATTTGACCTTTTGACCTTGACCTTGGAGTTTGACCCACTTTAACACAAAAATTCCGAACCTTAACATTGGCCATAACTTTTGAATGGTAGATACTAGGACTTTCATATTTCAATATATATATTCTTTGTGGCAAAGCCTTTCATTGGATACCAACAACCTTGACCTATTGACCTTGGAGATTTCTGTAATTGTGAAAAAACTTTAACCTTGGCCATAACTTCTGAACGACAAGGGATAGGACTTTCATACTTCACATTTGTAATCCTTGCGAGAAGACCTTTCATTGGATACCAAGAACTTAGACCCTTTGACCTTGACTTTGGAGTTTAACGTACTTATAAAAAAACAAACCTTGAACATAACTTTTAAAGGGTTAGGGCTAAGGCTTTCATGTTTCACATATTTAATCCTTGTGACAGGACCTTTCATTGGATATCAAGAATGGAGTCTGACCTACTTTTGATAAAAAAAAACTTTGGGTAATGTTATATTTAATTTGCATTTAAGAAAAGTTTAATCTTCGCTATATTACCATACGGGGTCATCAGTGTTTCACAAACACATCTTGTTCCTTATCTTGAGAAGAGATAGGGTTTTCATATTTGACAAGTGCATTACCTGTGACAAGATAGCATACTATGATTTGTGACCCATTGACCTTGACCTTCACGATTGACCTTATTTTTTTTTTAAATCCTACTTCAGTGATAATATCCAAATGACATATGAAAGGATGTTCATATTTGAGACAATATGTCACAAAAAAATGACATCTCACCCACAAAGACACCGAAAGCGGGGGACCACAATTCTTCATGTTCAAAGAGATAGGGCACCAGACAAGATTGTAGTACAATATGAAGCATAAATTAAAGGACAAGATAGGCCAAGACACATTTTTTGCCCCTGGTTTGTGGTGTCTCTAGGAGCGATGCAGTAGTTCATTATTACAAACCTGTTGAATCCCCACTTACAAAATGTGTATTGATTCCAAGTTATACGAGTAAGGTACACAAAGGTCACACTGGAAGGTCACAAAATTTGCCAGTTTCCGAATTTTCTCATTTTTAAAAAAAGTTTAATCAATATCACAGCACATTTTGCTGCAGGAAAGACAGTTAACGAGTTTGCCTACTAAGTATCTACAAAATCTAAACATTTCATGCACTAGTATCAGATACTCATGTGTATAAAAATCTCAGGTAGGCAAGCTTCTCGAAGTGAAAAGTATCTAAAATTTGACAAAATTCATCAGAATTGAAGAAATTCGGGAAAATGTCCAACTAAGCACCCTCTTATGGCCTTCTAATACTATCTGGATCAAAATTATAGCTGGTTTTAAATACGTAAGCAACATTTAAAGTTCTTAATGCAAATTATCAGCGTTTGAACCGTTTTGAAGTTAACTTCAAATAAGGGGCCATATTCGACGGTTACCATACCTTTTCTTCCGTAGCGCTATACATGTAAAAGCGTGGCGTCAAATGTTACGTCTTTGGTCCTATCTTTCAGGTTTACAGGATCATACGTTTACTCAAAGATGCTATGTAACGAAATTGCTCGAAATTGATTAAAAAGTTATAACGACCGAAAAAAAAGGTCAGATGATCTAAAAAATTCGCGTATTAATTTTGAAATCAGTAAGTTAAAATTATCAAAAACAAATTAAAAGGAAAAATGTCGCAAGCAAAATCGCTCAACCTTGTGAATCACGATCGAGAGCTTATTTTTTTTACCTACAAATTGTATTTTCCTACTTTTAAGTTTATTACCAAGAGTATAGAGTATATCACTTATTTACTGGAGTCGTGCGTAT